GGACAAGTTCGATAACCGCCATTATCCGACCATAATTTGTGGAGTTATGCCCCTTTATGGACTTGCCGAAACAGTGTCCGCTCGATATCTCGAGTAATTATTAACGGATTAACTTCAAACTTCACAACAAGGTTAATTACCATGAAACCTCGGACAAGTTCGATAACCGCCATTATCCGACCATAATTTGTGGAGTTATGCCCCTTTATGGACTTGCCGAAACAGTGTCCGCTCGATATCTCGAGTAATTATTAACGGATTAACTTCAAACTTCACAACAAGGTTAATTACCATGAAACCTCGGACAAGTTCGATAACCGCCATTATCCGACCATAATTTGTGGAGTTATGCCCCTTTATGGACTTGCAGAAACAGTGTCCGCTCGATATCTCGAGTAATTATTAACAGATTAACTTTAAACTTCACAACAAGGTGAAAGCTCACAAGTTCGATAACCGCCATTATCCGACCATAATTTGTGGATATCCGCTCAATAACTAGAGTGCCTTACAACGGGCACACGAACAATGTACACTTTTTTTATGACGAGGTTAATTTCCGTAGAAGCTTGGACAAGTTTGATAACCATTATTATCCGACCGTAATTATTGGAGTTATTCCCCTTGGTTTCATTAATGCAATGCATGCGTTCCATGATGTTGTATTGCACTCATTGATCTACCAGTTATGTTGAATGATTTCTCTTTTAATATCAATTACTCACAAATACTTCATATATTTCAATCATACAAACAACTGCTCATTCAATGTGTGACGGGCGTATTATATACCGCTCGCGGTAACCTTGTTTCAATAATAATGTACTATTTCATTTGCAGGAACCTGAAGTTTTACTAAATGTGGATATCTTGGACACTCACCTTGTAGTCAATAGCGTAGTGGATGGAAGAATGCTCAAGTTTGATTTGAACATCAACAACAACAACGTCATATTTAACGTTACACCGGAACAGGCTAAACATGGAGTGACAGTTGATATCTGTGTGTCAAATCATAAAATCCCGGTCAGGATTTCAAAAGCTGAAACAGGAAAATCGGATGATTTACACAATTATGTTATGCAGTTCCTTCAGTGGTACTTTTTGATTTTAACCTTCAAATATGCCATTAAGGAGGGGGATTCAGAGAGAACAAACATGACATTGAAATTTTGCATTCAGTGTTCTTCAGTCATTCCATTTTGTCAAAGTACCTTGAAGAATGCATTGACTACATCCTGAAAACAGAAATCATTCTCCCTGAGAAAATTGCAATGAAAGTGAAGCATGGATCGTATGTAAACATGACTGCATGGACACAAAGGTGACAACAAGGCTACAGATTTACAGAAAGAGAACGAAGTGTTGGTATTGAAGGAACTGATTCGAGGGCCGGGTTCCAACAAAACTGAAAAAGATATAGTCACCATAACAAAAGCAGCACCTGTCATTCAGGATGTTGTTAACAATTTTGATAGAATGACAAATATTCATGACAAGCATACACATCACAGAAAGTGTTCATTGGAAGGAGATATTAGGTGTGTTCTGAAAGAACTTGTCTGTTTGAAAATTTGGACTCCTACACAAGGACGAAAGCTGGAAAACTTTCATCAATTTAAAAAGTCACCATTTGATGTAGACAGAGTAACTTATAAGGAAATTGTCATGAGGAAAGTTGCAAGACTGAAGAGAGGAATTGCTATTCCAGCAGAAAGTGAAGATGAATCAGATTCAGAAAATGATATTTAACTCACAGTATTAAGGTATCTACAGCTTTGATCTTCGGTATACTTTTAATTAGATCAAGTAGTTTGAAAGTTATGGTCTAAATCAAAGTTGTGGACAAACACTCGCTGATCAAAAGTAATCCCAAAATTTGACCATAGCTATAGGGGCATATTCATGTATCTTTTAGAATAAACCTAGAAAACTGGTAATGTCACAAATCTCACAATAAATGCCAGCTGGCACAATATTAAAAGGGGGAACCATCATTAAGATATGCGTAAATTTCCAATTTTCCTTAGTTCAGTTAAAAACAACAGGTACTTCATGTGTGGGTTCCATCAATAGATATTCTTGGACATAAAAACTACTTGATCTAATTAAAACTACCACCTGTGTATTAGAATGTCAAATCAGGATAACAAATTCTGCTACTGTACAACTAAATCATCATGTACACGTACTGAACAGTTCCTTACAGTTTGAGCAGCAATCTCCCTTTTGGCCTGAGAAAACAACACTATCAAATCGCAAGTGATTTACCAACATGAGTCTTAAACAACTTTTGAGAGTGCAGTACTTTATCATTTCTTCTGCCATTCCTTTCCTGTTTTTCGCTATGTCATTGTTGTTAAAGTACATAATTGCTGCAGATGGTTGTCCAAGACGCCCTGCCCGTCCAATTTCCTGTAGGTATTTTTCTAAGGTAGTTGGTGGTCTGCAATGAATAACACGCACAACATTTGGTGCATTCACTCCCATTCCAAGGGCGACAGTCGCCAGGACTAATTGTATCTTTGGATCCTGTTTTGTGAGTTCCTGCATGGTAACATGTTTCATTGACTCTGGATAGTCCTTGTGATATTGGGCAAATATTCTGTTTTGTGGAATTTTTTCCCCATCATACGCATCTTCCTGAAGTTCGTGAGAGGTGTATTGAAAAAAGTATCCCATGGCTTCCAAGTTTTCGACATACATTATGGTGACGGGGAAGGAATGCTTCTTTTCCTTCAGTTCTGATGCAACGAGCTCAATCAAGTCATCATATTTTTCAAACTTTTTAATATTTGGCAATCTGTTTCTGATCTCCAGGGAAATGTTTGGTCGATCCACATTTTCAGATATCACTGCTGGAGTTTTCAAATTTGTTTTGTGATAGTTTCAATAGATTTGGGAGTTGCATGCTGTTGCAGTTAGCATTAAATGGAAAGCCTTGTCAAACACACAGACCAGTTCACCTAATCTCTTAAATGCAGGACGGAATTCATCTCCCCTGCAAAATAAAATTGTGTAAAATTATATTATGCAATTATGAAAGTATATACTAATAGTGACAAATATTGCATTACCTACAAACTTTGATAAATTTACTGATCACCTTATTCAAGATTGCAGTTGTTCTTTTGGAGCACCGTGAAAGATGCTGATCTTTTTTTCTTTTTTGTCCTAATTATTCTGATTTCAGACAGGATTTTTATGAAATATATAATGTAGTAGGATTTATAAGTCTGAAATTACTTACATCAGAAGATAATGAGCTATCACCAGAAACTAATAATTATCTATTATCTAAAGTTGAGAAATTTATTGATTTAACTTATAGATAGATTCACCTAACTCGAATTTGATTAGTATATTTTTATTGAATACTTCCCGTTATATCAATCTGCTCTGTGAATGTGTGTATGTGTGTGGGTGTGTGTTTAGAAGTATGTATGTTGCCAGTGACGCAGTACTTGTTCCATAACATCGAAAATGAACTAGTCATCTACGCCACTGGTAGAAGTGTTAGCCTTGTTATAAGTGTGTGTAGTGTAAACATTCAGCCATATCATTAATTCAAACATATATACATATTTTCCATATAAATGTCCATCTATTTCAATACGTAATTAATTATCGATAATTTTGTAAATATATCTGATTATTCTTTGTAAATATATATATGTTGTACCGTTTCAGGAGAAGACTAATATATAGGCACTGCCTGTTGTCTAATCCTTTTGTAAATACAATAAAATGTGTTGAAACCAGAAACCTAACACCTTGGATCTTCCAAATACATTTGAATATCCATCCCCAGGCCTTCTAAAGTGAACATACAAAAATAGCTTTAAATGATTTTAATAAGTTTTAAAAAAATAGGGTACTCGTCGGGCTATTTGGGGCCACTAGGCAATCTGCCCACTTTGCACCAGCTTTAAATTCAATACTGCCTAGGGAGGGAATCGAACCCTCGTACATAGCAAAAACTGTGTTGATGTTAGAATATATATATATAGCCTGGTATATATTGTTCTCATATCATTATATAATGTATCATTGTGGTAAAAATTAAGTACAAAGACTTAGTTATATATATATGTGTACTTCATAAAACTTACCACTCTGAAACAATATGGACTTCATCAATAACTATTCCGCAGACAAGATATTGATACAATTTGGATCGCAGAAGTCTGGAAAATTTGGTTTTCATTAAGGCTTCAGGGTGAGAATATATCAAGTTAAACTCTCCATTCTTCAATTCCTCAAATGGTACATCTAGGGCTGGGACGAATCAGGATTTTTTCGAATCGGTTCGATTTCAATTTTGATCCTTTCGAAACGATTTTTTCGAATCGATTCACTTGATACACACTTTCTCATAAAAACATAAGAATCAAGTGTAAAACCTTTATTTAAGGTATAACAAGACAAAAGTAACAGTTTATAAAGTAGCCATGTGGTAACATATTAAAGTTTTTACCAAGTTAAAATGTTTTCACTGCAGGGGTAGATTGTGTTGATGTTGTTGCCGCGAATCATTAATTGAAATGCCATGCTTTCTTTTTAAATGATTTGACATCGAAGACGTAGACCCTGTTTGGTATTTGAATAAAACAGGGTTCCCTGTCACTTTTGTAATTGTTTTTTTTTGTACCCCCATACCTCTCAAAATGGGGGTATGGCGCCATTTATTAGGGGTTCACCTTATCTAAATCCCCATGGGTATGTAATATCATCACAAAATTGTTAACTAAATGTAGCAATGCCATTTTTACATGTTTTTATATATTTCATAATATTTCCAGCCTGTCATATAATAAAAACACCAAGAATCAGTCAGTAAAAACAATGTAATTTTTACAGGTTTTTATTTATTTCATGATATTTCCAGTTTGTCATAGAATAAAAACACCAAGAATGAGTCAGTAACAGAATGAACATTGTGTAAGGAGGCTGTACCCAAATCGGATCAGTACCCAAATCGGATCACTTTTGGCAAAAATAGTTATACTTCAATAAATGTGCCAAACAATCAGTTATAACAATGATGTATTCTTAGCCATGCACCAGTTTAATTCTACAAATGATTCGTTTTTAAGTTCAAATTGCACAAGAAAACGTAATACAAACTCAAATGTGTTTTGAATACGTTTTTAAAAACTGGCATGTATTACTGAAACAGAGATCATGTAACTTACCCACGTATTTACGTTTCGTGTAACGGAGTACGTGTACCTGGGGTATCCCATTGGAGATTCCCTTCCGGTATATTATTTAGACGTTTCTGATTGGTAATATTTATAGGATATGTTACCTTATAACCTGTACAGCACTCTACGCTCAGGTATGGGTCAGCATCGAGTTCAAATACTACATTGCACGTGTATTTCAAGGCATACAATTAAATTTGGCTATATAGCTGGGTGTTTTTGGTATTGTAAATCAGTCTGGCAGAGGCTTACATGTAGCTGGCTGGCTCGTCTTTACCCTTCTTACGGGCAGGTATGTAGGAGTGTATTCGGCCTTAGACCTCAAAATTTTCCGGGCTGGGTGGTATTTTCCCATTGTAGGCATGTTTTGGGTAGAATTACGAATTGCGAAGACTAATGGTGAGTTAAGAATGCTCCAGACTAAATAAGGATAAAATCCCTTAATCCCAATGGTCGGAGAAGGATTTTAAAGGTTTTACCTCTATTTCTACTATTGTGCCCCGCCCTTCTGCCCCCTGGGAGACCACACCCACTGCTTATACAAAATTGAGTCAACTTGGCCCAAGGATGCTCCAGACTTCTCAATAACCAAAATGCCCTGGGAGTTGATATTTGGCCAGTAGCATGCTTGGGTGAAGGGCTACCAAGTTTGTTCAAATGAATGACCTTTAATTATATTCAAGGTCACAGGGGTCAATTGTATTAAAAAACCTTTAACCAACTTCTTCTGAATAACCAAAATGTTCAGGGTGATGATATTTGGCCAGTAACATGCTTGGATGAAGGGCTACCAAGTTTGTTCAAATAAATGACCTTGACTTATAGCCAAGGTCACAGGGGTCAAATATGTTAAAAACATTTAAACAACTTCTTTTGAATAACCAAGAGGCCTAGGGTGATGGTATTTGGCCAGTAACATGCTGGAATGAAGGGCTACCAAGTTTGTTCAATGACCTTGACCCACTTTCAAGGTCACTGTTTTTTTTTAGCGCGTTATCATATTCATCTAAAGAGAACGGTATGTTAAGATTTGTGGTATTATCTTCTGTTTCGTTCAGATATTCTCTAATTCCATTTATGTCTTTATTTTTATTATCTTTGAATTCGTCTGTACAGTTTTGGTTACTGCAAGCTTTTTGGAATTGTTTAGCTAGTAAATTAGCTTTCTCTAAATTTGTTTTTCCTTCCATGTTTTCCCCTAATATTGGAATTTCTTTAGGTGGTATTCCCTGTATTGCTTTGATTTTGTTCTATACTGTTTAAGTATTAGTTTTATTGTTAAGTGAACTACAAAATTCTATCCAGTGGGTTTCTTTATGTTTTTTACAAGTTCTATTGAATTTATTTTTAGCTATTTTGTAAGTTCGAAGTGTTGTTCTGTTGGATTTTTCTTACATATTTTTTCCCATCTACGTTTTATTCTCTTAGTTATGGCGCTGCTTTCATTCCACCAGGGATTGTGTTTGCATTCTTTAGGTTTACCTGAAGTTCTGGGAATTGATTCTGTTGCCGCATTAAGTATGATTTTAGTAAAATTTTCGTTGTACATATCGATATCGTTGTTTTTGACATCATTAATATTGATATGTTTACATATATCTTGGAATTTAGTCCAATTGGCTTTCTCGAATAACCATTTTGGTGGGAATTGGATCACGTTTCTGATTGGTTTAAAATTAAATTTTGCCAGAATAGGATAATGGTCTGATCCTAGGGTGCTATTACTTACCGACCATGAACTTATTAGGTTGCCTATTTTCGGTGTTGAGATGGTAAGGTCTAGGTGGGATATGCCACCGGTTCTGTAGTCTATCCATGTTCCGTGGTCGGGTTCATTAAGTACGGTTAGATTATTTTCTAGGAGCCAATCTTCTAGTAAATCCCCTCTGGGGTTATTTTCTCTACTCCCCCACATTATGTTTGCCGCATTCAAGTCTCCAGATAAGATACAGTGTTGGTATTTTGATGTTATATTCAAAATTGTATCTAGATCTTCTTTCTCTAATATTATACTGGGACTTATATATATATATTGAAAATTGCTATTATTTTGTTATTTCTGTGCAACTCTGCACCGAGCATTTCTATTTTTGCGGAGATATCTTTAATTGGAATAGATTTATAAGCTATATCATTTTTAATATATAACGCTAACCCTGTGGTTCGACTGCCTAGTTTAAGTGGTTCGTAATAACCTATGATTTTGGGAACTTTTAAATTGGGTCTCATTTTTGTTTCTTGAACTTTAATTATATCTATGTCTTGACTTTATGTTGTGTTAGTAGTTGTTTAAGGCTACTTAAGTTAGCTCTGAGGCCGCGAGCGTTCCAGCTGAGTACAGACAGGGAGCTTGCGGCCTTTTTATCCATTTGTACTGCCATATTGGTTAGTTAGTTTTTTATGTGTTAGATTTAGACGAAGGTTATCTTTATTTGTGTAGTTGTTTTACCAGTCGTTTGTTGGCTGATCTTGTGTTGTACCCGTAGCTCTCTTTTTTGGATGTTGATTTTGATTGTTTACATGTCCTTTTGTTTTTCAGTACGGTTGGGGGTGTTTTGGCTCTGTGTAGGGGGATTTTGGGCGGTGTTTTGGTGGATGTGGGACATGGTGTTTCTGGGGACTTTATGGACATGTTCTCTATTGTTTCTGAACAAATACTAGGCGTTGGTGAGGGTGCACTAGAGTTTGGAGATGGGGGGTATGGAGTCAATTCTGTCAATAGTTATTGCCAAGTCCATGCCTAATTCTTGTATTAATGCATTGTTGAAGGTTGCATATAATTTGGCTGGGTCTTCCTGAAGATTGGCTAGTGATAAAAATAGGGAACCTAATGTATTTACAAGTTGCTGTCTCGTGACTAATTTATTGCCGATTGAGTGGGGGCCTGTACGATGTCGTATCTTACGAGGGCTCCGGTTGAGGATTTGAATGCGGACGTAAATGTTTTGTTATTGTTAACTGCTTCTGCGTACGTTTTACCTTGTGTTTTGCTTTCTTTAATGTTTGTTTTGTTATTTTGGTTGTTATTGTTTTGTACCTTTTTGTACCCTTTGGTGACTGGTGTTACTGACAATATGTTATCTCCATATCTAATATTTCTTGGAACCGTGGAAGATTTAAATAGGAGGAGAATTGATGTAGTTAATTTCCATCACAAAATGCACCGGTACAATAATTTGTACTCAAAATGAGCAGCAACCCATGTTTTCCTTTTTTACTCCAAATCATAAAACTTGAAACATTTTTATTAGGTCACCTGAGTCAAAGTCTCAAGTGACCTATTGCGATCACCTTTTGTCCGGTGTCGTCCGTCGTGCGTCGTGCGTCCGTAAACAGTTAACATTTTCGACTTCTTCTCCAAAACCCCGTAACCAATTTCAATGAAATTTTGCAGAAACCTTCCATGGCCAAAGGTCAACAAAAAGAGTGGCCGGTTTGGTCCCAAGCCCCCAGGGGCCTGATGGGTGGGGCCAAAAAGGGTCGAATTGACTGAAATTTCAAAAATCTTCTTTCAAGACCCAGATATGGTAGAATCAAATGCGCTTCATAGATGGAAGGGTCTTAAGGTGCTTTACCAAATTTGTGAATTTCATGACCCTGGGGTCTTACGTTTCCCCCTGGGGAGGGGGTAAACTTTACTATAGTTTACATAGGAAAATAATATTTTGGACCAACATTTGTTTAATTTCCATTGGAAGTAATTTAATTTGGGTTAGCATTATCAGTATTGGATAGCTGTTTGATGGTATGCACATATCAGCCCTGACTGACCCCTGGGGCTGATGGGTGGGGCCAAAAAGGGTTGAATTGACTGAAATTTCAAAAATCTTCTTCTCAAGACCCAGATATGGGATATGAGATATGGGGGCAAACTTTGTTATGGTTTATAATGGCAAATGATACTTTGAATATTACATGTTGATAACTTGATTGGAATTATAACCCTGAGTTGACAGTTTGATACTTTGTAAATTTTGAGCCATCCCTACCCCCCAAGGGCTGTAGGGTGGGGCCCAATGGAGTCCGTGTGCTAAAATAAAATTTCTACAATTTCCTTGTTTAGAATCAGAGGTGCTAGTTTCAAATACTTTTCAGTCTTAAATCTGCATGCTAGATATTGAATAAGGTGGTTCTATTGTTTTTTGTCACTTTGAATAATATTTCTGTTCATGTTAAAAACAAAAATCAACTCTCTGTATAAGTATATAAGGTGATCGTTAAGGCCCATGGGCCTCTTGTTCTTTATGCAATCCAAAGAATTTAGCACATGATAAATATACACACCACTTCTAAGAATATTGCAGTGGGAGAACCTGTCCATTCAAGTCTCACAAAGATGAGTTATTTATCAATGAACCACCTGATTAGATATATAATGTGCATAGCATGGTCTAGCATTATTTTCCTCGTTTCTGACTTTCATCTGTCGAGTGATGCAGTTGTACTGATTGTGGTTTGCATATAACGTGACTCTGTGACAGCTAGTACTTTTTTTAGCATTTCATTTTTTTCTTTCTTTCTTGAAATTGATCCTTATACCAGAGACGTAATATATACGTCTCCGCTAATACATTGCCCCACTATCTCGCCTGAGGACATTGTTGTTAAATTGTCATCTACAACAAATGCAATCTACATACTAACTTCAGGGGCAAGGTACCCCCTTGCTCACCTGCTGACATCCCTTTCATGTCATACCTGTACACAGGTACATTTGTATATAGGTGTGTCTTGGGCCTCCTACTGCCATTAGTTTAGTTTAGTTTATCGGCCTTTAGCCTTTTGGCTAATCAGCATAAACATTACAACATTACAATACATTTTACAAAATTGAGTGAGTGATACACAGCAATACAGACATATTATGGAGGATGTGTAATTATTCATTTGATCTCAGTTGTGAAGCAGAAATTAAAAATTTGGAAAGATTATTCTATTTATTTCAATTTTATGAATAGAAGTAAGCAGTTTCGACAGACAACTTATAATTACTAAAGTTATGCCTCTATAGTTATTGGTATCATTGATATTACCTTTTTAGCTCACCTGGCACGAAGTGCCAAGTGAGCTTATGCCGTGGCGCGGCGACCGTCGTCCGTCCGTCCGTCCTCATGCGTCAACTTCTCCTTTAAACAACTTCTTCTGAATTACCAAAATGCCCAGGGAGTTGATATTCGGCCAGTAGCATGCTTGGGTGAAGGGCTACTAAGTTTGTTCAAATGAATAACCTTCACCCATATTCAAGGTCACAGGGGTCAAATATGTTTAAAACTTTAAACAACTTCATCTGAATAACCAAAATGCACAGGGTGATGATATTTGGCCAGTAGCATTCTGAGATAAAGGGCTACAACGTTTGTTCAAATGAATAACCTTCACCCATATTCAGGGTCACAGGGGTCAAATATGTTAAAACCTTTAAACAACTTCTTCTGAATTACCAAAATGCCCAGGGAGTTGATATTCGGCCAGTAGCATGCTTGGGTGAAGGGCTACTAAGTTTGTTCAAATGAATTACCTTTACCCATATTCAAGGTCACAGGGGTCCAATATGTTTAAAACTTTAAACAACTTCTGAATAACCAAAAGGATCAGGATGTTGATATTTAGTCAGTAGCATACTAGGATCAAAGGCTACCAAGTTTGTATAAATGTGTGACCTTGAATCATATTCAAGGTCACAAGGAGCAACTATGTTCAAAATATCTCAACAACTTGTTCTGAATAACCAATAGGCTCAGGATGTTGATATTTAGTCAGTAGCATCCTAGGATCAAAGGCTACCAAGTTTGTATAAATGTGTGACCTTGAATCATATTAAAGGTCACAAGGAGCAAATATGTTCAAAATATCTCAACAACTTGTTCTGAATAACCAATAGGCTCAGGATGTTGATATTTAGTCAGTAGCATCCTAGGATCAAAGGCTACCAAGATTGTATAAATGTATGACCTTGAATCATATTCAAGGTCTCAAGGAGCAAATATGTTCAAAATATTTTAACAACTTGTTCTGAATAACCAATAGGCTCAGGATGTTGATATTTAGTCAGTAGCATCCTAGGATCAAAGGCTACCAAGATTGTATAAATGTATGACCTTGAATCATCTTCAAGGTCACAAGGAGCAAATATGTTCAAAATATTTCAACAACTTGTTCTGAATAACAAAAATGCCCAGGGTGATGATATTTAGTCAGTAGCATATGCTGGGATTGAGGACTACTTTGGTTGTTAAAGGGAATGACCTTCAATTATATCCAAGGTCACAGAGGTCAATTTTTTTCAAAATCTTTAAACAACCTCTTCTGCATAACCATGGGTCCCCGGATGTTTATACTTTGCAAGTTGCATCCTGAGATGAAAGGCTTTAAACAACTTCATCTGAATAACCAAAATGCACAGGGTGATGATATTTGGCCAGTAGCATTCTGAGATAAAGGGCTACAACGTTTGTTCAAATGAATAACCTTCACCCATATTCAGGGTCACAGGGGTCAAATATGTGAAAAACATTCAACAACTTCTTCTGAATAACCAAAAGGATCAGGATGTTGATATTTAGTCAGTAGCATCCTAGGATCAAAGGCTACCAAGTTTGTATAAATGTATGACCTTGAATCATATTCAAAGTCACAAGGAGCAAATATGTTCAAAATATCTCAACAACTTGTTCTGAATAACCAAAAGGCTCAGGATGTTGATATTTAGTCAGTAGCATATGCTGGGATTGAGGACTACTTTGTTTGTTAAAGTGAATGACCTTCAATTATATTCAAGGTCACAGGGGTCAATTTTTTTCAAAATCTTTAAACAACCTCTTCTGCATAACCATGGGTCCCAGGATGTTTATACTTTGCAAGTTGCATCCTGAGATGAAAGGCTATACAATGTGTTCAACATAATGACTTTGTTCGACTTTCAATCACAGGGGTGAAATGTTCAAAAAAAAATAACAGGGTCTTTTGAATGAATTTTAATCATAAATACTGATATCTGATATCACTTTTAAGGTTACAAGTGTGAGTTTTATACCAGGTGAGCGATGCAGGCCCATTGGGCCTCTTGTTTATGTAGTGGAATGATAACACCACGTGACCAACACTCTGGAAATATATCTCCAGTGAAAATCATATTTAATAATCGTTTTAACAATGGCACGAAAATATCTTTAAATTCACAAAATATTCTGGCGACTTATTCGGCTTGGACTTTTTTTAAGACATTTAAAATTTCAGTCTCTGTGATTTCATTGTCTAATTCGTGAAATATACATTCATCAGAATTGTATTCCATATCATCAGAATATACTCATCAGAATCAAAAATCTTTTTGAATTGATCATAAAAATCTTTTATAGACAAATTTATAATAGCATTTGTATTGCGTTTGAATAAATGATAAAACTGTTCCGGGTTTGCTCTACGCAAGTAATTCATTCTATTACCTTCATGCGTCTTAAATCTTCTTTTCATCTTGCGCTCGTACATTTTAAACATACGTTTATTGTTCACCAAAACACTCCTTTTTTCAGGAATACGCGCAAAATAAAAGTCAGCAAGCGCTTTCATATATCTTTTGTATAAAAACTTACAATGATTGTCAAACCAAGGTTTGTCATTAGAGACACATCTACCAGTTCAGTCGGTGCTGGATTTGTATGAAAAAGTCTTGCCACAAAATGGCGTGAATACATCACACAACAAGGAAGACAAGTTTACTACACACTGGTTTACATGTACAGAATTGTTTTCCAGTGACGTAACCATTTCATTTAACTCATTTTGTTTGGTAACTAATACTTCACGCATTCTTTCTATATGACCGTCGTTCCATCAATACACAGTATGCATTTCGTTTTTATAAGCAAAATCGCTATTAATTACATTCAAGTTATCAAATTGGACAAAAAATTCAACTGGTGCATGATCGGACCACAAATTTAAATCACAAACTTACAACCTGTTCACAGTTTTAAAGCATGATTTGTCAATGAGTACATGATTAAAAAATGTTAAACGACCAGATACATCATCAGGCTTTCTGACATTACACACATCATGTATACCATCATGGGCAACAAAATCAGATCTGGTTCCTATAAGACTGTTCAAGTCGCCGGTCACTATAACATTTCCTAAAGCAGAGTATTCAGCGATATCATTTTCAAGACATGTAAATAGATCGATATCATACAAATTGTTATAAACATTATTTTCTTGGGGTATGTATGACAAACACATATATAAATCTGACTGGGATAATCCAGACAGTTTAGCCCAAACCAAAGTATCTCTCTAACACATTTGAGGAAAGTCAAAAACTTGGACACATCTTTCCGAAAAAGAACAACTAAACCACCACCAGAGCTGCTGGAGCGCGGGAAAGCTCTTACATCAAAGTCCGACAGCAGAGAGAGGTCAAGTTCCGTCTCAGCTTTATTCCAGCACTCGGACAGTAGCATCAAGTCATAACTGCTAATTTGGTCAACGAATTCATGCTGCCAATATTTTGTATGCAAGTTCCTATTTTCATTCCAGCTGAGTATGTGTAATGAACGTCCAGTCTCTGCGCGCTCCTAACGGGAACCCTGTGGGGGCGGCCTGTAGAGTTTTTTTTCGACGTTTAGCTTGTCGTACGACAGCCTACACTGGCATCCCTGGTTTTGCTTCTGCTTCATGACACGTAGTAGTTCTTTGCGTTTAGCGTATATCTCGGGCGGAAACTGTTCATTAATACTAGGCCTGTCCGTTCTTCAGAAGAAGTTGTTTAAAGGAGAAGTTGACGGATGAGGACGGACGGACGGACGACGGACGGCAGGTGAGCTAAAAATGACCAGTGCCTTTCAGTTCTCCGGAATGCTTTCGTATATCCTGGCATTGCTTGTAGTCGTGGAATCTGGCGATGATTGGTCGAGGTGAACCTTTACCTGCGATGTGATGAACTCGCTCAAACTTGACGTTTCCTACATTGTCTGACGACATCTTCAGCTTTTCTACTAAAAAATCTTTTAGTACTCGTTCCGTTATTTTCGAGTCTCATTCGGTATCTCGCGGATATTGGTAAATATGAGATTGTCTCTCATTGAGCGGGATTTCGCATCTACAAGATCATTTTTAATTGATCGACTGTCCGCCTCGAGAGAAATAATACGGTCCTCCAAAGTACCGACCTGGAAATCGAGGCTGTCCATCCTGTCCGATAGGAGGTCAATCATTTCCTTTGTCCTCCGCACACTGTCAGATATCTCAGATTTTAATGCCACAAAATCATTGTCAAATTTGGAAAGTTTAATGTCTAAAGTACTCACTTTCTTATCCCCGGATTCCAGTTTAATCAGGCGTTTTGATATGGTATCCACTTTTCCAGTCAGGCTGGAGACGTCTATGCCGAGGTGTGTCACACTGTCAATTAACGACTCTGCCCACTTAGGAGGGTTCAGAGGACCCGAGCCAGTCTGTAAAAATTGAACTTTAGGTGTCGATGTTACAGGTTTATCCATACTTTCACCATGTAATACAGAGTTAGCCTCTTGTAAAATGTTACCCACTGTTGTGACCGATACACTTGAGTGACCACTGCTGTCCGAGAGTGATTCCCGTTCGTCATGACTAGATTTCCTGTCCATATCATCTTCCAAAACCAATATTTGATGATGAATATTATGATTTAATCACATATGCATATAAACAGTCCACCAATCGATAGAAATTGTCCGTACGAAACTCCAGAACATAGAAACTCAGTGGATTTTGTGGAGCTCCAAAAAAATATAGGGAGAAACAACAAGAGGCCCATGGGCCTTAACGGTCACCTGATATATTTATACAGAGAGTTGATTTTGTTTTTAACATGAACAGAAGTATTATTCAAAGTGACAAAAAACAATAAAACCACCTTATTCAATATCTAGAATACAGATTTCAGACTAAAAAGCATTTGAAACTAGCACCTCTGATTCTAAACAAGGAAAATGAAGAAATTTTAGCACACCGACTCCTTTGGGCCCCACCCTACAGCCCTTGGGGGTAGGGCTGGTTCAAAATTTTCAAAGTATCAAACTGTCAACTCAAGGTTATAATTCCAATCAAGTTAATAACATGTAATATTTAAAGTATCATTTGCCATTATAAACCATAACAAACTTTGTCTCAGGTGACCTAACAAGAGGCCCAATGGGCCTGCATCGCTCACCTGTTATTAATCTAACACCTGTAATCTTAAAATTTCATAAGAACCTATTAAAAGATTTAAACATATGACGCCTCTGACCTTGATTGTCAAACAAGGACATTAGGTTGAAAGTGGATCAAGGTCATTCATTTGAACTAACATGGTAGTTCTTCATCCCAGCATGCTACAGGCCCAATTTCAGTACCCTGGCCCTTTTGCTTATTGAAAAGAAGTCGCTTGAAGATTTTACGACATTTGACCCCTGTGACCTTGAAAGTTGGTCAAGGTCATTCAGTTGAACAAACTTGATAGCCCTTCATCCCAGCATGCTACAGACCCAATGTCAGTACCCTTGGCCTTTTGGTTATTGAGAAGAAGTTGTTTGAAGATTTTAAGACATCTGACCCCAGTGACCTTGAAAGTGGGTCAATGTCATTCATTTAAATAAACTTGATAGTCATTCATCCCAGCTTGCTACAGGCCCAATATCAGTACCCTGGGCCTTTTGGTTATTGAGAAGAAGTTGTTTGAAGATTTTAAAGACATCTGACCCCAATGACCTTGAAAGTGGGTCAAGGTCATTCATTTGAACAAACTTGGTAGCCCTTCATCCCAGCATGCTACAGGCCTAATATCAGTACCCTGGGCCTTTTGGTTATTGAGAAGAAGCTGTTTGAAGACTTTTAACATATTTGACCCCTGTGACCTTGAAAGTGGGTCAAGGTCATTTATTTGAACAAACTTGGTAGCCCTTGATCCCAGCATGCTACTGGCTAAATATCATCTTCCTAGGCCTTTTAGTTACCGAAAAGAAGTTGTTTAAAGCAAAAAGTTGACGCTGGATAGATGGAGGCCGGACAGACGGACGCCGGATGCCGTATGGACGGACAGACGCCGCACCATAACATAAGCTCACTTGCCCTTCGGGCAGGTGAGCTAAAAATGTTTGAATCTCATATAAATTCAATTATATTTTGAAAAGATAAATGTAATCACGAAATTAGATTATATAGTCCGTTGTACTGTATTGTTTACAATTAAATGTGTAACTGTCGTTATTTTGCTGTTTATTTGAATTGTCGACCTAACATAAGAAAGAAATCTCATTGCGTCGATTTGCCATTACTAAAAATATTGACATTTAAAAACAGCAGACATCAACTTCGAAGTTATTTTATAAACATTTTTCACTGATATATTTCGTATTTTTGGACCGTAGAGGTACCACAGTATATAACTTTGCAAGATAAATATTCCGGCACAGGAACTGGTCACGAAGTTGTGCTGTTCAATGACGACATGATTGGATAAGTTTTCACCGTAGAGCAGAGACATATAAAGTATATACGTCTCTGTGTAGAGTAAAGAAACTAATTGCAAACTGACTTTCCAGCTAAAATATCTTTGATCGACAGCGTCAAGACTATTTCTGTTTAATTTCCCTCAAACTCGTTCATACGAGAGAAAAAATCAAAAGTGCTCAAAATTAGGACATGCAATGCTACCAGTTACGTTACCCTATTCAGAGTCGTCAGTTTAGTTTCAATTAAACTCACTGTCTGGAATTTCTGTGGCTGGATACCATCTACATGTTATCTTCAGCATAATCTGATTCCTCAAAACTAAAAAAAATAAAATTCGCAATCTGACGCTGTATGACCATGGCTGTTCTCAAAATCGCCTATTCCTTGGATGGTGACCGCTACAGGCGTTGAACTTGTGACGTCACAGCCGATAGGGTGGCAAATCACTGCGAGTTACGATTAAGCTAATTAGCAAAAGAAGGACAGGTAAGTCTGTATTAACAAGAGATAATTTGACTTCGTCCAAAAAGTGGTATAAATTTTATGAAGCTAAAACCACAGAATTAGATTAGTCTGTGCTAAAATGAAGCGCTTGTATCTCCAAATGGAAGGTAATATGATGGACACTTTAAGACGTAACGACCCAAAGTCTTTTTACCGTATTTTTTCTAAGCGTAAACCTGTACATATGGGTGATTGATCACTTGATGATTTTTTCAAATATTTTAAAGACTTGGCTGATACCACAGCTGAGACATCATTTTGTCCTGATGAGCATACAAATAATAATGATTGTCTATATTCTGAACTGGACATGAGTTTAGTACACAGGAGTTAGTTACAGCTATCAAGTGTCTATCTAAGGGATAATCTGCTGCTAACCCAACTGCAGAGCTGCCAACCTTAGAGATTAAGAAATAGTAATCTCAGGTAGTATTCAAATGCTTTTTTTATGTCATTTCCGCCACCGTGCGAAATCACAAAATCACAGCAACACGGAATGCATCGGGCATAAGTAGTTCCTTTGGCAGACTTTACAATGTCCGGATACAGCTTCGGATATTCCCCTCTAAACGTCGGAATGGATAATTTCCTTTTTTTCCTAGGAGAAACGTCTTCTTGCCCGTCCAGTTTGACACGTTTTTCCGCCATTTTACTTCATCTACAAACGTCCTTTTCACATTGAATTAACTCCAGCCTATCTCGAGAATCGATGCAAACGCACGTGTGTATCTGATTTGCGATTATAATACTGAAAACGGACATCGGGACCGGATAACGGCGAAAATAACAAAAAAACGGAAAAAATCCGGATTTTTTTAAAAATCGTAATTTTACTTAGAAAATCGTACTAGCGTAATTCAGACCTCAAAATCGTAATAATTACGCCTAAATCGTAAGAGTTGGCAGCTCTGCAACTGGGACCACAATATCTGACTTTCAACTAATCCGAGGCCTTCATTGAGTTGCCATGTTAACAGATTTTGAAATAAGTAATATGTCATATTACATGGTGTAAAAAAAACAATTTTTAACAATTTATGAAAACTACACCATAGAGTATGATAATCTAGCTGTATCATTTCTTAGGACCGCAGGGGTCAAATCAACCTCATTCAATTAAGAAATGTTTGTTCTTCCTCAATAATGTTCTTCCAGAATTTGTACAATCCACTCGGGCAATTAGGGGGTATTAGCGTCTTAAAGCAAAATATTAGATAATTTTCCTCTCGTTTTATAGCAAATTTCACTAGGTTCCCCTTCAGGGCCCCACCCACCCTGGTTTCAGGGATCGAACCAACCTCATTTATTTAAGAAATGATTGCCCTCCCCTAGTGATGGTTCAGACTAAATTTGGTTGAAATCCTCTCTGGTGTTTAGGAGAAGATGCGTTTTAAAGCAATTTTATCTAAGTTCCCCTTCAGGGCCCAGCCCTGCTGGCCTCAGGAGTCTAACAAACCTCATTTATTTTAGAAATGATTGCCCTCCCCTAATGATGCTTCAGACTAAAGGTTGAAATCCTCTCTGGCATGTAGAAGGAGATAGGTTTTTAAGAAAAAGTTGACGACGGACGACAAACGCTGTGCCACGGCATAAGCTCAATGGTCCTTCGGACCAGGTGAGCTAAAAAGAAATTTATTTTTTACCTTAATATCACCTATTCGATAACAGAAATACTCACATCTTGGTTAGCTTCATTTAGTGGTTTTTCACAATACATGTATAAACACATATGCTGATCATAAAAAAGAGACTACATGAAAAACTAGCTTTTGTTGTGTAGACACTGATTTGTAAATGACCAAAACCATACTCTCAAACCAAATGCAGCTTTTTTTCTTGATAGTCAGCTGGTCATTGAATACTTCATTGTACAAGCATACTAACTCTGATGTTGATGGTTTTAAAAACTTGAAAGGCCCTTCATCTTAGCATGCTACTTGCCAAATATCATGACCTGGAGCCTTTTACTTATCCTGAAGTAAGTACAAGAGGCCCAATGGGCCTGCATCGCTCACCTGGTATCAATCTCACACTTGAATATCAGTGTTTGATTAATAAGAACCTATTAAAAGATTTAAACATATGACGCCTGTGACCTTGAATGTCGAACAAGGACATTAGTTTGAACAGAGTTTATAGTCTTCCAACCCAGCATGCTTCTGGCAAAATATCATTACCCTGGACCTTTTGGTTATACAGAACAAATCATTTAAAGATTTAAACATATATTGACCACTGTGACCTTGAATATGGGTGAAGGTCATTCACTTGGTAGTCCTTCATCCCAGCATGTGAATGGCCAAATATCAGCACTCTTGGCCTTTTGTCATTTAATGGTTTTAAACATATTTGACCACTGTGACCTTGAATATATATGTCAAGGTCATTCATTTGAACAAACTTGGTAGTCCTTCATCCAAGCATGTTAATGGCATTTTACTAAGCTTCTTGGTTATTCAGAAGAAGTTGTTTAAAGGTTAAAAACATATTTGACCCCTGTGACCTTGAAAAAAGATGAAGGTCATTCATTTTAACAAACTTTGTAGCCCTTCATTCCAGCATGCTACTAGCCAAATATCATCAGCCTAGGCATTTTTGTTATTCAGAAGAAGTTGTTTAAAGGTTAAAAACATATTTGACCCCTGTGACCTTGAATATAAATCACAGTCATTTATTTGAACAAACTTGGTAGCCCTTCATCACAGCATGTTCCTGGCCAAATGACATCACCCTAGGCCTCTCAGTTATTCAGAAGAAGTTGTTTAAATGTTTTTAACATATTTGACCCCAGTGACCTTGAATATAAGTCAAGGTAATTTATTTGAACAAACTTGGTAACCCTTCATCCCAGCATGTTACTGGGCAAATATCATCACCCTAGGCCTCTTGGTTATTCAGGAGAACTTGTTTAAAAGTTTTAAACATATTTGACCTCTGTGACCTTGAATATAAGGCAAGGCATTTATTTGAACAAACTTGGTAGCCCTTTATCCCAGCATAATACTGGCCAAATATCATCATCCAAGGCCTCGTGGTTATTCAGAAGAAGTTGATTAAAGATTTTTACATATTTGACCCCTGTGACCTTGAAAATTGATGAAGGTCATTTATTTGAACAAACTTGGTAGCCCTGCATCCAAGCATGCTTCTGGCCAAATATCATCACCCTCAACCTTTTGGTTACTGAGAAGAAGTTGTTTAAAGTAAAAAGTTTATGCCGGACGGACGCCGGGCCAGGTGAGCTAAAATTGATTTTAACATATTTAACCCTTGCAAACTTAAAAGTAGGTCAAGGTAATTAATTTCAACTTGCAATTGGTAGCCCTTCATCATGCTACATGCTAAATATCATGATATGGCCACTTCATATTCAAAAAGTTGATCTCTGTGACCTTGAAAGCGAACAACTCAAATATCAATATATAGAAAATAAGCAATGCCAAAAATTAATCATCCTGTTTATTGACAAGTATACAACTTATTACATCAATAAAACAATACTTCCCCTCACATGCATACATGATATTCATACATGATTTAGGCTTACAAAATATTTTGTAACACGACAACATAAAAAGCATTTATAAGCATTTTTAATTAATCTGATATAGCAATAAAAATTCTAGTCTCTTTATCATTACCTTAGAAAGGAATAAGTCAATAAGGTCTCAGGCAAGCAAAGGATATTGTGTTAACACATTTTGTTTTGTTTTATGAATCAATATACAAATGTAGATACACAGCAGCAGCTGTACAAGACCATCTGATTTGGTGACTGGAAGTAGTCAAAACTGAAAAGAGAACAGGTGACAAGCCTTAATTTATATTGGTTTAAAAAATAACACAAGTTTCCCAAGAGAATGTTCCAAGCAAAATGAAGTAAACTAGATGCCTACAGTATTCAATCATCCCTAACAATTTGAGTAAAAATGGTGAAGTATAATGTTAAGTTAAGTTTGTCAGGACCATGATTTGATCATTCCTTGACCGAGTTTCAGTTAAATCAGCCAATTAGAACTTGATTTTAAGTTTGAAATAGTGTTTTTTTTCAAAATGGCGGCGGTGGCGGCTATTCCGTCTTTTCGTATTGCAGAGTTATCTGCTCTTGTGAGTAGGTATTGATTGTTACATCATTTGTTTGTGAGAGTAACGTCATACATTTTTGAGAAATGAGTCGATCATTCCTACCAAGTTTCAGTTCGATCGGCCCAGTAGAACTACAGAAGGAGAAGGATTTAAAAGCTATCTTTCCTCTTTGGCCCTGCCTCTCTGTCAAATGGGGGGTCAGACCCACTGTTTATACAAAATTGGTTCCCCTTCACCCAAGGGTGCTTCATCCCAAATTTAATCAAAAACCTGTCATTCCTACAGAAGAAGAAGGATTTTGAAGAATTTGCCACGTTTCCCCTATTGGGCCCAGCCCCTCAGACCCCAGGGGGTCCAAACCCACCATTTATACAAAATTGATTTCCCTTCCAAATATGATGCTACTGTTCAAACTTGGTCAAAATACCTTCATCCCAACGGTAGAAGGAAATCAAAACTGTTCCTCTATATCCCTTTTTTGGCCCTGCTTCTCTGCCCACACGGGGGTCAGACCCACCATTTATACAAAATTGCTTCACCTTCACCTAAGGATGCTTCATACCAAACTTGGACAAAATCCTGTCATTCCTACAGAAGAAGAAGAATTTTGAAGAATTTGCTGTTTCCCCTATTGTGCCCGGCCGCTCCTCAGCCCACACTCACTGTTTGTACAAAATTGAGTTCCCTTGGCCCAAGCATGTTCCAGACTAAATTAGAACAAGAGGCCCAAGGGCCTTAGCGGTCACCTGAGTTATATCATAGGTACTGGTAGCTTTATTTTATTGTTTAGATGTGATGTGGAAATCAGCATGTAAACTAAGTGAAATACAATACTTGTCATGTCATCAAAGGATAAGAATTTTAAAATATTTGTAAATGTTCCCTTTGGGGCCCCACTCTAACCCCTGGGGATGAGGCAGGAATTCCAAGTTTACAATGTGATACCGTCGTCTACCAAAGAGGATTCTGACCAAGTAAAAATAATTTCCAACAAAAAATTGTCAAAATATACCCAAAAGTGTTGTTTCCCTATATAAACTATAGTAAACTTTACCCCCTCCCCAAGGGAGAACGGATAGCTCGGGGGTCCTGAAATTTACAATTTAAATAAAGCCCCTGATGATCTTTCCATCCATGCAGAGAAAATGACTGTAATACCTCTGAGTCTGGAGAAGAAGATTTTTGAAATATTGGTTAATTTTCCCTTTTGGGCCCCGCCCTGGCCCCTAGGGTTGGGGTAGGAATCCCAATTTTACAATTTAAAACCATCTTCCTCCTCCAAGGATGATTCTGACCAAGTAAAAATAATTTCCAACAGAAAATTGTCAAAATATACCCAAAAGTGTTGTTTCCCTATATAAACTATAGTAAACTTTACCCCCTCCCCAAGGGAGAACGGATAGCTCGGGGGTCCTGAAATTTACAATTTAAATAAAGCCCCTGATGATCTTTCCATCCATGCAGAGAAAATGACTGTAATACCTCTGAGTCTGGAGAAGAAGATTTTTGAAATATTGGTTAATTTTCCCTTTTGGGCCCCGCCCTGGCCCCTAGGGTTGGGGTAGGAATCCCAATTTTACAATTTAAAACCATCTTCCTCCTCCAAGGATGATTCTGACCAAGTAAAAATAATTTCCAACAGAAAATTGTCAAAATATACCCAAAAGTGTTGTTTCCCTATATAAACTATAGTAAACTTTACCCCCTCCCCAAGGGAGAACGGATAGCTCGGGGGTCCTGAAATTTACAATTTAAATAAAGCCCCTGATGATCTTTCCATCCATGCAGAGAAAATGACTGTAATACCTCTGAGTCTGGAGAAGAAGATTTTTGAAATATTGGTTAATTTTCCCTTTTGGGCCCCGCCCTGGCCCCTAGGGTTGGGGTAGGAATCCCAATTTTACAATTTAAAACCATCTTCCTCCTCCAAGGATGATTCTGACCAAGTAAAAATAATTTCCAACAGAAAATTGTCAAAATATACCCAAAAGTGTTGTTTCCCTATATAAACTATAGTAAACTTTACCCCCTCCCCAAGGGAGAACGGATAGCTCGGGGGTCCTGAAATTTACAATTTAAATAAAGCCCCTGATGATCTTTCCATCCATGCAGAGAAAATGACTGTAATACCTCTGAGTCTGGAGAAGAAGATTTTTGAAATATTGGTTAATTTTCCCTTTTGGGCCCCGCCCTGGCCCCTAGGGTTGGGGTAGGAATCCCAATTTTACAATTTAAAACCATCTTCCTCCTCCAAGGATGATTCTGACCAAGTAAAAATAATTTCCAACAGAAAATTGTCAAAATATACCCAAAAGTGTTGTTTCCCTATATAAACTATAGTAAACTTTACCCCCTCCCCAAGGGAGAACGGATAGCTCGGGGGTCCTGAAATTTACAATTTAAATAAAGCCCCTGATGATCTTTCCATCCATGCAGAGAAAATGACTGTAATACCTCTGAGTCTGGAGAAGAAGATTTTTGAAATATTGGTTAATTTTCCCTTTTGGGCCCCGCCCTGGCCCCTAGGGTTGGGGTAGGAATCCCAATTTTACAATTTAAAACCATCTTCCTCCTCCAAGGATGATTCTGACCAAGTAAAAATAATTTCCAACAGAAAATTGTCAAAATATACCCAAAAGTGTTGTTTCCCTATATAAACTATAGTAAACTTTACCCCCTCCCCAAGGGAGAACGGATAGCTCGGGGGTCCTGAAATTTACAATTTAAATAAAGCCCCTGATGATCTTTCCATCCATGCAGAGAAAATGACTGTAATACCTCTGAGTCTGGAGAAGAAGATTTTTGAAATATTGGTTAATTTTCCCTTTTGGGCCCCGCCCTGGCCCCTAGGGTTGGGGTAGGAATCCCAATTTTACAATTTAAAACCATCTTCCTCCTCCAAGGATGATTCTGACCAAGTAAAAATAATTTCCAACAGAAAATTGTCAAAATATACCCAAAAGTGTTGTTTCCCTATATAAACTATAGTAAACTTTACCCCCTCCCCAAGGGAGAACGGATAGCTCGGGGGTCCTGAAATTTACAATTTAAATAAAGCCCCTGATGATCTTTCCATCCATGCAGAGAAAATGACTGTAATACCTCTGAGTCTGGAGAAGAAGATTTTTGAAATATTGGTTAATTTTCCCTTTTGGGCCCCGCCCTGGCCCCTAGGGTTGGGGTAGGAATCCCAATTTTACAATTTAAAACCATCTTCCTCCTCCAAGGATGATTCTGACCAAGTAAAAATAATTTCCAACAGAAAATTGTCAAAATATACCCAAAAGTGTTGTTTCCCTATATAAACTATAGTAAACTTTACCCCCTCCCCAAGGGAGAACGGATAGCTCGGGGGTCCTGAAATTTACAATTTAAATAAAGCCCCTGATGATCTTTCCATCCATGCAGAGAAAATGACTGTAATACCTCTGAGTCTGGAGAAGAAGATTTTTGAAATATTGGTTAATTTTCCCTTTTGGGCCCCGCCCTGGCCCCTAGGGTTGGGGTAGGAATCCCAATTTTACAATTTAAAACCATCTTCCTCCTCCAAGGATGATTCTGACCAAGTAAAAATAATTTCCAACAGAAAATTGTCAAAATATACCCAAAAGTGTTGTTTCCCTATATAAACTATAGTAAACTTTACCCCCTCCCCAAGGGAGAACGGATAGCTCGGGGGTCCTGAAATTTACAATTTAAATAAAGCCCCTGATGATCTTTCCATCCATGCAGAGAAAATGACTGTAATACCTCTGAGTCTGGAGAAGAAGATTTTTGAAATATTGGTTAATTTTCCCTTTTGGGCCCCGCCCTGGCCCCTAGGGTTGGGGTAGGAATCCCAATTTTACAATTTAAAACCATCTTCCTCCTCCAAGGATGATTCTGACCAAGTAAAAATAATTTCCAACAGAAAATTGTCAAAATATACCCAAAAGTGTTGTTTCCCTATATAAACTATAGTAAACTTTACCCCCTCCCCAAGGGAGAACGGATAGCTCGGGGGTCCTGAAATTTACAATTTAAATAAAGCCCCTGATGATCTTTCCATCCATGCAGAGAAAATGACTGTAATACCTCTGCCTCTGGAGAAGAAGATTTTTGAAATATTGGTTAATTTTCCCTTTTGGGCCCCGCCCTGGCCCCTAGGGTTAGGGTAGGAATCCAAATTTTACAATTTGGTAGCCTCATCCACCCAGGATGATTCTGACCAAGTTTGAAAAAAATCCATTCACTGGTTCTTGAGAAGAAGTTGATAATGTAAAAATTTTACGCACGACGGACGACGATGGATGGAAAGTGATTGGAATAGGTCACTTGAGCAAAGCTCAGGTGACCTAATAAAATCCCTTAATCCCTACGGTAGAAGAAGGATTTTGAAGGTTTGACCTCTATTTCCCCTATTGGGCTCCGCCCCTCTGCCCCCAGGGGGGCCACATCCAACTATTATACAAAATTGAGTCCCCTTGGCCCAAGGATGCTCCAGGCTAAATTAGGATAAAATCCTTAAAACCCTACGGCAGAAAAATGATTTTGAAGGTTTTACCTCTATTTCCCCTATTCCGCCCCACCCCTCTGCCCAAAGGGGGGCCACACCAACAGTTTATACAAAATTGAGTCACCTTGACCCAAGGATGCTACAGACTAAATTAGGATAAAATCCTTTAATCCCTACGGTAGAAGGATTTTAAAGGTTTTACCTCTATTTCCCCTATCGGGTCCCACCCCTCTGCCCCCAGGGGGGCCACACCCACTGTTTATACAAAAATCGAGTCCCCTTGGCCTCAGGATGCTCCAGACCAAATTTAGTCAAAATTTACTAGGCCGTTTAGGTCTAGTAGTGTTTTAAAGAAAAAGTTGACGGATGGATGGACGACGGACGCTGCAGTATGGCATAGGCTCACCATGGCCCTTTGGACCAGGTGAGTTAAAAACCTTCATTTATTTTTAAATAGTGTTTTTTTAACAAGAGGCCCATGGGCCTTAACGGTCACCTGAGTCCTAGAGTATTTATTTTTGTTGTTGAAATATGTACCAATTTGAGTAAAAAATAGTTAAGTATAATGTTAACTTAACTTTGTCAGGACCATGAGCTGATCATTCCTAGACCGATTTTAAATGAGATCGGCCTATTAGAAATTGTTTTTAAGTTTAAAATAGGTATTTACAAAATAGCGGCTGTGGTGGCCATATTGGATTTCTGATTGACCTGAAAAATAACAACACTTTGTCAGGACCATGAGTCGATCATTCCTACCAACTTTCAGTTCAATCGGCCCAGCAGAACTTGACTTTAAGTTTGAAATAGGTTTTCAAAATGGCGGCCATGGCTAAAGCTCAGGTGACCTAAAAATGTACTCCCTTTTGGCACAATCCCTCAGCCCCAAAGAAAGCCAAACCTTTCTTTTTACGTTTGTGTCCCTTTATGATCCTAATGGTGTATCATGCCAAATATGTCTAAAATCTGATCAGTTCTTTAGGAAGCTTTAAAAGAAATTGTTGACAGATGATGGAAGGCACAGTATGGCATAATCTCATCTAAGGTAATCTTTTGGACAAGGCGAGTTAAATTTTACACGTCCATTAGGTGTAAATTACTTTAAACTGTCAACTGTAAATCTCCAATTTTCTTGAATATTCTGTGTAATAGGACACAATCAATGAGCTATTTTACCTGTGTAATAGACTCACTCCATGAGCTATTACCTGTGCAATAGACTCACTCCATGAGCTATTACCTGTGTAATAAGACTCACTCCATGAGCTATTACCTGTATAATAAGACTCACTCCATGAGCTATTATATATATAATTACCTGTATAATAGGACTCAGTCCATGAGCTATTACTTGTATAATAAGACTCACTCCATGAGCTATTACCTGTATAATAGGATTCAGTTCATGAGCTATTACTTGTATAATAGGACTCCATTCATGAGCTATTACTTGTATAATAGGACTCAGTTCATGAGCTATTACTTGTATAATAGGACTCAGTTCATGAGCTATTTATAATATGCACTGATTTACCTGATTCAGTTTCTCTTCTTTAGTGGTTTCACATTTATAAAATATGTGCAATATCTTTTCTTAGCTAACATTGTCAGTTACTGGAGGAAAAATGTAAACTTATGTTGTACACATGAAAATTTTCACATAACCTGGTATGCCACATCTCAAATGATTTATGGAGTGGTTTATGGTATCAGAAACAATTACATTTCTCACCATTATTCTCAAACAAAAGTTTGAGCAGGATTGTAAACATTTATTAATATGATCTGTGTATTGGGCCTTGCCTCTATGCAAAATTGAGTTCTTATTGCCTAAGGAAGCTGTACACGAAATTTGGTTAAAATCCCTCTGTTTGTACAAAATTTAATCCTCTTTGCCCAAGGATACTCCAGGCAAAATTTAGTCAAAATCCACTTAGCTGTTCAGGACAGGCAGACTTTTTAAAGAAATAATACCAGTTTCATACATGCCATTACTTTCGGGTGCAAAATAGTGAGATCAGTATATTTTTTTTTACCTGAATTAGAGAGAAATAAGTGAGAAATTTAAAGCAGAAATGGTATTGCATAAAACATAGCATTATCTATTTCAAGTTATTCTGTAGCCTCTAATAACTTTATTTGAATCAATATGGGAGATTTATGTTTATTTTAAAGAATTTTAGGGCGGTTAACATGTAAAAAATAGTTCCAATACAGCTATTGTCATTTGAAAGTAAAGGTATTACAATACTTCCAATATGATCCAACTTTAAATATATAACCATTGTTATTAAAAATACTACCCACCATTGATTACCCTCGGTCCAAGTATGATCCAGACCAAATTAGGCTAAAAAAGCCCTTAGAAGGTACAAAATTATACAAAATTGAGTCCCCTTGGCCTAAGGATACTCCAGACCAAATTTAGTCAAAATCTACTTGGCCGTCCGTGACCTTGAATGTCGAACAAGGACATTAGGTTGAACAGAGTTTATAGCCTTCAACCCAGCATGCTTCTAGCAAAATATCATTATCCTGGACCTTTTGGTTATACAGAACAAATCATTTAAAGATTTAAACATATATTGACCACTGTGACCTTGAATATTGGCAAAGGTCATTTATTTGAACAAACTTGGTAGCCCTTCATCCCAGCATGCTACTGGCCAAATATCATCAGCCTGGGCCTTTTGGTTATTGAGAAGAAGTCGTTTGAAGATTTTAAGACATTTGACCACTGTGACCTTGAATATTGGCGAAGGTCATTCATTCGAACAAACTTGGTAGCCCTTCATCCCAGCATGCTACAGGCCCAATATCAGTATTCTGGGCCTTTTGGTTATTCAGAATAAGTCGTTTGAAGATTTACCGACATTTGACCCATGTGACCTTGAAAGTGGGTCAAGGTCATTTATTTTAACAAACTTGGTAGCCTTTCATCCCAGCATGCTACTGGCCAAATATCATCAGCCTGGGCCTTTTGGTTATTGAGAAGTTGTTTGAAGATTTTAAGACATTTGACCCCTGTGACCTTGAAAGTGGGTCGAGGTCAATCATTTTGGGCCAGGTGAGCTAAAAATGTTTGGAACCTTTAGACTTTTTAAAGAATGGTTCTAAGCGTACAGAAATACTTATTCTTCATTTGTTGAATAAAACATTGAAAACAATACCCACTACTTAATTCCTTTATGTTTTATTTTTCATGTATCCAACTGTGAAGAAATTTTCCTTTTTACATGGATATTTAGAGAAAGTGTTTTTCTTGTGCTGTAGCGCTGAAGTGAGGTGGCAGTATTAATGATGCCATTTGAGGCACGGTCCCACTACAAACAGAACACAATACATCTCCAGCACACACACATAAGGAGATACTAGCCAGGTGGCATAGGACTAGTAGTTAACGCCTGATAAGGCAGCTCCTGCAAATTCCTCAAAACTTGTATTGATTAATGTATATGCTAATTATATTAATTGTATATTTATGTTCTGTAAAGCGCTTTAGAATGGCTTAAGTTTATGCTAGCTAGATAGGGGGCTATATTAAATGTTGTATAGTATTACTGTTATTAGTGCAAGTAAAAATTTTCATTAACACTCAATCCCATCCAGACAATCAGATAATAAGTTCCAGATATAATGTCAGGGTTCGGTTATGATTTTAAAGTCATGAATTACATTTTCGTTTCAGTAAACTATGGACTTTCGGTCATCATGAACTAACAGCTCTTATGTGGCCCTTTAATGTTAATACCTACTGTCATCATATTCTAATTAGCAACTAGCCCCAACTGGACAGAGGTTCCCCGACTTAATTGCTTAACAGTTCACAAATCGGTAAGCAAAACATATGACACAAAATGTATGCTGTTAATTGGCCTGATCAGTTATTTAAGTGACTGGCCTGTGATTTAAGACCTTTGAGTGACCAAGGACAGTGTGAATCCATGTACAATGTAGCTATTGTTTCTTCATTAATATTAACCAAACTATGTTTTCTTTCATGAAACCGATTGAAATTCATGAGATATGAGTCTGACATGAGGATTTTTTTCTGAAGTAATTTTCATGAGTCTCACACTCAAATCGTTAGATATGGCATGTATGCAGTCTGTTCTATTTTCCCTAGTGATTCAGCTTGACATACTATTTCTCTGCCATAGGTGCACCATAGTTCTGTATTACTTCGTGCTTCCTCCGATGTTAGAAAACCAGCTTGACAGTTCTGACATGCTGCCAAGTTTGTTGTAAAATGAACTTGTCATGTCCGAGCTAGAGCTGGGCTGAGGAAGGACGGCCGCTGCTTTCTCGGTCAGGGAATCGCCACCAGTCATCACACTCTGTAAAACAATATACAAACTGTTACTAAAAATGGTTCCATCACATCTATCACCTACACTAAACTTCATAGGACAATGTAAACCTTCTGTATATTGCAAAAGAGCTCCCTTCCTTTGGGAGAGATTCCACATGCTCCAAATGAAAACATAGATAAAATGTGTGTATATACCCTTTAGAGACAAAATAACCCTTTACAATTACATATTTAAAGTTGCTCTTTCAGATGAAACAATTAGATATTTGAAAATAGGAATAGTTAAGCAAATTTTCTGGTTGAAAAAATTGAATATAAGGGTAAAAAATCAGGAGACTTCCTCCTCAATAGGGAGGGTTGACAAGTATGTCAGTGCCAAATTATCCAACAGGTAAACTTGACTGCTTAGCCTGTGTGTAGACTGTAAGAGAATGGAATGGACCAAATAACCAGAATTATCATGTGTGTGGACTGTGATAGCACTGACCAGAATTATCCTGTGTGTGAACTGTGAGAGTACTGACCAGAATTATCCTGTGTGTTAACTGTGATAGAACTGACCAGAATTATCCTGTGTATGAAGTGTGAGAGTACTGACCAGAATTATCCTGTGTGTGAAGTGTGAGAGTACTGACCAGAATTATCCTGTGTGTGAGGTGTGAGAGTACTGACCAGAATTATCCTGTGTTAACTGTGAGAGTATCGACCAGAAGTATCCTATGTGTTAACTCTGAAAGTATTGACCAGAAGTATCCTGTGTGTTAACTGTACATGTGAGAGTATTGACCAGAAGTATCCTTTTTGTTAACTGTGAGAGTGCAGATAAGACTTACCCTATTTAGGGACTGTGACAGTATAGGTGATGGCATTGTAGAATTGCTAGGCTGGGTACTCAGTGGCAGTAATATGAATCGGTTTTGACATGTGGTCAGGGGCAGGACATTGTGCTGCTCCTGGTGAGTTGTCTGAAGACCTCGTCCACTGCTGAACATCCCCAACTTATCTAAACTTGTCAGGGCACCATACAACACCTAGTAAAGACACATTTTCAAATAGTTACCTTCTAAACAACATCTAGTTACAGTAACCTTCTAAACAACATCAATTAATAGTAACCTTCAAAAACAACATCTAGTTACAGTAACGTTCTAAATAACATCAAGTCACAGTAACCTTCTAAACAACATCTAGTTACAGTAATCTTCTTAATAACATCTAGTTACTATAACCTTCTAAACAACATCAAGTAATAGTAACCTTCTAAACAACATCAAGTTACAGTAACCTCCAAAACAACATCTAGTTACAGTAACCTTCTAAACAACATCAAGTAATAGTAACCTTCAAAAGAATATCTTGTTACATTAACCTTATAAACAATATTGCATACAGTAACCTTCTGAACAACATCTAGTAACAATAACCTTCTTCATAACATCTAGTTACAGTAACATTCTAAATAACATCAAGTAATAGTAACCTTCAAAAACAACATCTAGTTACAGTAACCTTCTAAATAACATCTAGTTTTAGTAACCGTATAGACAAAATCTAGTAATAGTAACCTTCTAAACAATATTGCATACAGTAACCTCATAAACAACATCTAGTTACAGTTAACTTCTAATCAACAACTAGCTAGAGTAACAGTCTAAATAACATCAAGTAATAGTAACCTTCAAAAACAACATCTAGTTACAGTAACATTCTAAATAACATCTAGTTTCAGTAACCGTATAGACAAAATCTAGTAATAGTAACCTTCTAAACAATATTGCAAACAGTAACCTCATAAACAACATCTATTTACAGTTACCTTCTAATCAACAACTAGCTACAGTAACATTCTAAATAACATCTAGTTACAGTTAACTTGTAAACAACACTTAGTTACTGTATCATTCCAAATAACATCTAGTTACAGTTATTTTATAAACAACATCTTGTTACATTAAACTTCTAAACAACATCTCATTACAATAAATAACCTTCTAAACAACATCTAGTTACAGTAACCTCCTAAACAACATCTAGTTACAGTAACCTTCTAAACAACATCAAGTTACATTTAACTTCTAAACAACATAAAGTTAGGTTAACCTTCTAAACAACATCTTGTTACAGTAACATTCTAAACAACATCTAGTTACAGTAACCTTCTAAACAAAATCAAATTACAGTAACCTTCTAAACAACATCAAATTACAGTTATCTTCTTAATAACATCTAGTTACTATAACCTTCTAAACAACATCTAGTTTCAGTAACCTTCTAAACAATATTGCATACAGTAACCTTCTAAACAACATCAAGTTACATTTACCTTCTAAACAACATAAAGTTACGTTAACCTTCTAAACAACATCTTGTTACAGTAACATTCTAAACAACATCAAGGTACATTAACCTTCTAAACAAAATCAAATTACAGTAACCTTCTAAACAACATCAAATTACAGTTATCTTCTTAATAACATCTAGTTACTATAACCTTCTAAACAACATCTAGTTTCAGTAACCTTCTAAACAATATTGCATACAGTAACCTTCTAAACAACATCTAGTTACAGTAACCTCCTAAACACCATCTAGTTACAGTAACCTTTTAAACAACATCAATTAATAGTAACCTTCTAAACAACATCTAGTTACAGTAACCTCCTAAACAACATCAATTAATAGTAACCTTCTAAACAACATCTAGTTACAGTAACCTTCTAAACATCAAGTTACAGTAACCTTCTAAACAACATCAAGTAATAGTAACCTTCAAAAACAACATCTAGTTACAGTAACCTTCTAAACAACATCAAGTCATAGTAACCTTCTAAACAACATCTAGTTACAGTAACCTTCTAAACAACATCAAGTTACAGTAACCTTCTTAATAATATTGCATACAGTAACCTTCTGAACAACATCTAGTAACAATAACCTTCTTAATAACATCTAGTTACAGTAACATTCTAAATAACATCTAGTTTCAGTAACCGTATGGACTCAATCTAGTAATAGTAACCTTCTAAACAATATTGCATACAGTAACCTTATAAACAACATCTAGTTACAGTTAACTTCTAATCAACAACTAGCTACAGTAACATTCTAAATAACATCTAGTTACAGTTAACTTGTAAACAACACTTAGTTAGTATCATTCCAAATAACATCTAGTTACAGTTATTTTATAAACAACATCTTGTTACAGTAACCTTCTAAACAACATCTCATTACAATAACCTTCTAAACAACATCTAGTTACAGTAACCTCCTAAACAACATCTAGTTACAGTAACCTTCTAAACAACATCAAGTTACATTTACCTTCTAAGCAACATAAAGTTACGTTAACCTTCTAAACAACATCTTGTTACAGTAATATTCTAAACAACATCAAGGTACATTAACCTTCTAAACAAAATCAAATTACAGTTACCTTCTAAACAACATAAAATTACAGTTATCTTCTTAATAACATCTAGTTACTATAACCTTATAAACAACATCAAGTAACAGTAACCTTCTAAACAACATCAAATTACAGTTATCTTCTTAATAACATCTAGTTACTATAACCTTCTAAACAACATCTAGTTTCAGTAACCTTCTAAACAACATCTAGTTACAGTAACCTTATACACAAAATCTAGTTACTATAACCTTCTAAACAATATCTTGTTACAGTAACCTTCAAAACAACATCTAGTTACAGTAAACTTATAAACAACATCAAGTAACAGTAACCTTCTAAACAACATCAAGTTACATTAACCTTCTAAACAACATCAAGTTACATTAATTTTCTAAACAACATAAAGTTACAGTAACTTTCTAAACAACATCTAGCTACAGTAAAATTCCTAACAAGAGGCCCAAATGGGCCTGCATCGCTCACCTGGTATTAATCTCACACTTGTAATCTTAAGATTTCATAGAACCTATTAAAAGATTAATATATATGACGCCTGTGACCTTGATTGTCCAGCAAGGACATTAGCTTGAAAGTGGATCAAGGTCATTCATTTGAACTAACTTGGTAGTCCTTCATCCCAGCATGCTACAGGCCCAATTTGAGAAGTCGTTTGAAGATTTTACGACGTTTGACACCTGTGACCATGAAAGTTGGTCAAGGTCATTCATTTGAACAAACTTGATAGTCCTTCATCCCAGCATGCTACAGGCCCAATATCAGCACCCTGGGCCTTTTGGTTATTGAGAAGAAGGTGTTTGAAGATTTTAACATATTTCAAACCCCTGTGACATTGAAAGTTGGTCAAGGTCATTCATTTTAACAAACTTGGTAGCCCTTCATCCCAGCATGCTACAGGCACAATATCAGTACCCTGAGCCTTTTGGTTATTGAATAGAAGTTGTTTGAAGATTTTAAGACATTTGACCACGGTGACCTTCAAAGTGGGTCAATTTCATTCATTTGAACAAACTTGGTAGCCCTTCATCCCAGCACGCTACAGGCACAATATCAGTACCCTGAGCCTATTGGTTATTGAAAAGAAGCTGTTTGAAGATTTAAGACATTTGACCCCAGTGACCTTCAAAGTTGGTCAAGGTCATTCATTTTAACAAACTTGGTAGTCCTTTATCCCAGCACGCTACAGGCCCAATATCAGTGCCCTGGGCCTTTTGGTTATTGAGAAGAAGTCGTTTGAAGATTTTATGACATCTGACCCAAGTGACCTTGAAAGTTAGTCAGGGTCATTCATTTGAACAAACTTGGTAGCCCTTTATCCCAGCATGCTACAGGCCCAATATCAGAAACCTGGGCCTTTTGGTTATTGAGAAGAAGTCGTTTGAAGATTTTACGAAATTTGACCCTTTCGACCTTTAAAGTCAGTCAAGGTCATTCATTTTAACAAACTTGGTAGTCCTTTATCCCAGCAGGCTACAGGTTCAATATCAGTACCCTGGGTCTTTTGGTTATTGAGAAGAAGTCATTTGAAGATTTTACAAAATTTGACCCCTTCGACCTTTAAAGTTGGTCAAGGTCATTCAAACTTGTTAGTCCTTTATCCCAGCATACTACAGGTTCAATATCAGTACCCTGGGCCTTTTGGTTATTGAGAAGAAGTTGTTTGAAGATTTTACGACATCTGACTCCAGGGACCTTGAAAGTTAGTCAGGGTCATTTATTTGAACAAACTTGGTAGCCCTTCATCCCAGCATGCTTCAGGCCCAATATCAGTACCCTGGGCCTTTTGGTTATTGAGAAGAAGTTGTTTCCAGGGTATTGATATTGAACCTGTAGCATGCTGGGATAAAGGACTACCAAGTTTGTTAAAATGAATGACCTTGACCCACTTTCAAGGTCAAAGGGGTGAAATGTCTTACTTTACTAAAAATACTTTTAGTAACTGTGACCTTCAAACAACACCTGTTAAACAATACCAGTAACCGTGACCTTTAAACAACACCTGTTAAACAATACGAATAACTGTGACCTTCAAACAACCCCTGTTAAACAATACCAGTAACTGTGACCTTCAAATAACACCTGTTAAACATTACCAGTAACTGTGACCTTCATACAACACCTGTTAAACAATACCAGTAACTGTGACCTTCAAACAACACCTGTTAAACAATACGAATAACTGTGACCTTCAAACAACCCCTGTTAAACATTCCCAGTAACTGTGACCTTCATACAACTCCTGTTAAACAATACCAGTAACTGTGACCCTTAAACAACACCTGTTACACATTACCAGTAACTGTGGCCTTCAAACAACACCTGTCAAACAATACCAGTAACTGTGTCCTTCAAACAACACCTGTCAAACAATACCAGTAACTGTGTCCTTCAAACAACACCTGTTAGACAATACCAGTAACTGTGTCCTTCAAACAACACCTGTCAAACAATACCAGTAACTGTGGCCTTCAAACAACACCTGTTAAGCATTACCAGTAACTGTGACCTTTAAACAACACCTGTTAAACATTACGAGTAACTGTGACCTTCAAACATCACCTGTTAAACAATACAAGTAACTGTGACCTTCAAACAACACCT